TATTATTATTATTATTATTATTATTATTATTATTATTATTATTATTAACACCCTCTGATGCTAAGGAGTTCTACTCCCCCTCTCCACCTGAAAAGAAATCTGTCCCAAATGCAAAACACAAGCAGAGGGGAGGAGTTTCAGTTTTAGTTTCACAGCAGCAACCCGCTTTAGTACAGAACAGTTGAGTTAAGCCACGCCCAGGCTCCTTGCTCTCTCCTTCTTGCTCATACAGCAAATACTATTTCAGTTTCCAAATAGCCCTCAACTCTCTCCCACACTGACAGGACGCTATCCGGATGAATACCGATGGATGCTGGTAGGCAGAGGCAGAATTCCCCCCCCCCAATTATTTTTCCTCCCAAAAAACTAAGCCTGATGACATAGTTTTGTAGCGAAGCACAGGTATCCAGCTAGTCTTCCAATATTTAAGGGGTTGTCACAGAAGAGGAGGGTTTTTTTTTGCCAATCTCTGGTGTGGCTAGGTAGAAATAAAGACAGAGTCCCAGTATTTGCTTTGATAAGACGGGGGACCCCCTCAAACACCCTTCGCCGCTCATATTTACATGTTTGCTAAATTGTTTACTTCATCACCCAGAAGATTCCTGGTCAATGGGGTAGGGGGGACTGAGCTAATTTCCCAAGTACCTGAGGGCAGGAGAAGAAGTAATGGATGGAATTAAAAAGGGATTTAACCTACAAGTAAGGAGGAATTTCCTGTCAGTGAGAATGATTAATCAGTGGAGCTGGTTTAATAGGATAACATTGTAATGCAGCTGAAAAGGGTCCTTGGAGGTTTTCTAGTCCAACCAACCCCTCCCCCACTCTACTATACAAGACAAATGGTTGTCCAATCTCTTCTTAAAAACTTCCAGTGAGGGAGCAGCCACAACTTCTCGAGGCCACTGATTAATTATTTCTTTTGCCTCCAGAGGTTATGGAAGCTCCAACACTGGAGTTTTTAAAGAAGAGGCTGGACAGCCCACTTGTCTGGAATGGTCGAAGGGGGTTGGATAGAAGACCTCCAAGGTCCCTTCCAACTTTTACACTATTAGTGTGCGAAGTTGTCTTCACATTCTTCCTTTTGACCAGGTTTCGATAAAGTAGGACTCCGCATAGCGCTCGGGAATTCCTTCCCTTACCTCACTTCTTTAAAAAACGCTTCTTTTTTAAAAGAAGAAACATACCTTATAAAGAAACAGAAATCCATCTTTGGCAAGAATCATATTTATTAAAAAAAATAATAATGGAGGAGGCCCACTGCAATGGTTTAGTTTTAGAGCTGCCCACTAGGCTAGGCTCGGAAGATTTTTATGATTAGACAGGCCTATCATAGCAACCGTGTCACAGTGAGACGTTTTTGACGGCCTCCGTGTCACCCTAGAAAAAAGGCGACAGGGCTGCTTTAATGAGAACTAGACAGCAACTGTATCCAACAGGCCTGCAACCTCTGAAGTGCCACTTTTGGATCAGACCACAAGCACAGCGCAACCTGAATGGAAACTTTCCCCCAGGGTTCAAATTCCACATGGGGACAATGGTTCCAATGATTGTCCACCCCACATTTCTCAAAGGGAGACCAGAGGTGGTATTCAGGAGGTACTGACCAGTTCTGGAGAACCAGTAGTAGACATTTTGAGTAGTCCGGAGAACCGGCAAATACCACCTTTGACTGGCCCTGCCCCCATCTATTCTCTGTCCCCTGAGTCCCAGCTGATTGGCTGGGTCTTCTTTGGTTGCCCTGCGCTGGAGAACGGAGCTGGAAAGCAGGTTAGTGGGGTGGGGAGGGAATGGGGATTTTGCAGTAGTCTTCCCCTGCCACGCCCGTAGAACCGGTAGTAAATAATTGACCACCTACTTCAGTCTCCTTCATTTGCCTGGTCTAATTTTTTCCCCGGAGGACGCGATGTCCTTGGCTCTCAGCTACAATGGATGGTTGTTGTTAAATTTTAGACTGGCAGCACTTCGGGAATCCCAGCAAGTGGCTTTCAGTAGCGAGATCCTGGACACTCTGCCAAAATTGTACACCAACCGAGAAGAACAGGTTACTCTTCACCTGGAATGTCGGGGTGGATCGGGTAAAAGTTGCCACGGAGCAGCTCATGTAACAATCCAGGTTAGAATGGAAGTCCCCGCCTCTTCCTCTTTGAGGAAGGAAGTTGGAATTGATTGTTCCCTAGTATGATTTGATTGCTTATTGTACCCTATGACTGTCATTAAGTGTTGTACCTTATGATTCTCGACTCCTGATGAATGTATCTTTTCTTTTATGTACACTGAGAGCATTTGCACCAAGACAAATTCCTTGTGTGTCCAATCACACTTGGCCAATAAAAAGAATTCTATTCTATTGTCTCAACTGCCGTTCCTTTATTGTCTGCCTATTCTGTAGATCACAGGGTTGGTTTTTTTTTTTGCATGGGAAGGGGGTGTGCTATAATTTCTTCAACCATTGGGTTAGAGGGCCAGTGATGGAAAGGACTCTGCTTCCTGATTTATATAGGTAGTTTTCTACTTAGGACCATCACTGAGCTTAAAATTTCTGTTGCTAAATGTTTGTTAAATGAGATTTGCCCCACTGCATTGTTAAGTGAGTCACCTGGTTGTTAAGTGAATCGGGCTTCCCCATTGACGTCAGAAGGTTGCAAAAGGGGATCGCATGTCCCTGGGACATTGCCACTGTCATAAATATGAGTCAGTTGCCAAGTCTGGATTTTGATCACACGATGATGGGGATGCTGCGAAGTCAGAACTGTGACAAACAGCCTTAAGTCACATTTTTCAGCGCCATCGTAACTTTGAATGCTCACTAAACGAACTGTTGTAAGTTGGACTCCCTGTAATTCCTCCCTTTCCCAGGGAGGTTCCGTTCTAGTTCCATTTTTGCTTCTGCGATCAGAAATGAAAGTGGTGGGGCTGCTTGTCAACTCATAAAACATTTTGTATGCATGTTTTATAGTTGTCAACAGAAAGAAAGCGGGGAGGAACTTTCATAGAGCAGGCAGCAGTGTGGAATCGAAAGTACATTCCATTCATATTTTCTTCAAAGACTGATTAGATGACTGAAGCTTCTGCTGCGCAAAAATCTAATTGGAGAGCATGATTGATGACTCTGGGCTATGGACGTGTTTTGTTGGATGATACACCCTGAGGGGTGGTGGTGGGGAAACAGGATCAAGGGTGACAGTGAATTACATATCTCAGTGTTGACTACACCCAGGCTAATGCCAGAATGTGAACTTCTAAAAAAATCCTTTTTAGTTTTGGGAGTGTGGCTCGAGGCTCATGATTTAATTGGAGTAACTGCCAGAATCCTGACACAGCTGTTGCAAATCTAACATTAATTTATTCGATTATTCTAATATTGAATTAGTTTGCTAGTTGAATGCAATAATGTATTCTCTCGATTTTAGTTTGAGGGAAAACACCAAAATGAAGCCGTCAACCAGCAATTGCACATTTTGGAGAAAGAAATGAAGCACCTGCAGGCAGAAGCTGCTCAGATGCCTCCTCTGAATGTTGTAGGAGCCGCCGTCTACGTGGAGAACTTCATAACGTGAGTTGTGTGGTTTCCTCTCCGTGGCGAAACCTTGTCTTGCCCTTGTTTCTGATTCTGAGCGATCCAAATCAGGTTCCAAAGGTGCTTTTTTTTCAAGAGGAAACTGGACTTTCTGTTTTTTTTTTTTCTGTGAAGACGTTTCACTTCTCATCCAAGAAGCTTCTTTATCGCTTGACTGGATGGTGGGCAATGGAAGGATTTGTATTCATTGTAAACAAAGCTGGTCATTTGCATTCTTTTAGAGCAGGGGTCCCAACCACCAGGCCCTGGACCGGTACCGGTCGGTGCATCATTTTGTACTGGGCCGCAAAGAATGAAAGTAGGGCCTACTTTGCTTGGGTGCCGCCATCTTCTTTCGATGGCGCTTAAGAAAGTGCTTCCGGGTGAGCTTGTCGGTTGTCGGTTCGAAAGCGCCGTTTGGGTGCTGAAGGAATCCTCGCGCCTTAGTTTCGTCGAAGGGGCGGCGGCTTTGAACGAATAGCCGTCCCGATGGTGGTGGAGTCTCGCGTTACTCAGGAGGAGATTAAGAAAGAGCCCGAAAAGCCCATCAACCGCGAGAAGGTACAAAGGAGGAGTTGAAGGTGGCAGGGAGAAGCGGGGGACGGCTGGCTGGCCGGTCACTCAGCTCGCCTTGCCTTGGTCGTGAGTGCTGATGCTGATACCGGTCCGTGGATCATTTTGTACCGGGCCGCAAAGAATGAATAATTGTGAAACTGGTCCCTGGTACAAAAAAGGTTGGGGACCACTGTTTTAGAGAGTTGTTGAGGCCACCTGGAGGTTAGGGTTAGGGCTAGGATCAACAGAGAGAGAGCGGGATACGACACCACCCATCTCCAGTCTACAACACAGTTCCAAGAAGTTTCCACACCATTTGCACTATTCAAGTGATGCTGAGGACATAGATAAACTTCCAAGTGGCCTCAACCCCCCTCAGAAAGGATGCAAATGACTAGCTGTCCGCAAGGAGTATAAATCCTCCCATTCCCCACCATCCAGTTCCGAGCTGAAGAAACTTCTTGGATGAGAAGCGAAACATCTTCAAAGAAAAAATGAACGGTCCAGTTGCCTCTTGAAAAATCACCTTGACCTGGATGACCGAGAATCTCCATAGACCATGGAAACTAGGGTGTGCAAAAGTTCAGTCACAATTTCCTCAGAAACATCAGATATTTAGAATGGTGTCTTGTGCATCTCAAATCTAGAAGGATAACAGAGTAACGGGGTTGGAAGGGACCTTTGGAGGCCTTCTAGTCCACCCCCCTGCTCAAAGCAAGAAATCCTATACCATTCTGGACAAACGGGCTGGCTTCCATTCTTTGGCTCTCAGCCTTCCTTATGGTCCAACTTTCACAGCCATGCATCGCCACTGGGAAAGCTCGTAGTCCCGAATGAGCCCCAAATTGGCCTTTTAAATCCATCCTCAGGGGTTGCTTGTAACGGCATTTTTTTAAAAAACAAAAATTATTCATCCCAGGGACAGATACATATATCCATATATCCATGAGAAAGGGAAGGCTTCTCCTGCAGGATTGACATGGAAACAGACAAATTGGCCCAAAGGGGAAGGCCAGGCTATCCTTCTTGCACTAAATCTTATCCCTTGACTGCATGCTTTTATTTACGGCGCTAGTCCAAAGCCTGAATTATACATTACTGATCTCCTCCTGTCCTTTGCTTATGTGTTTTTTTAAACCACCATTTTTATCCCCGCTACCAGAGGTTTAATCAATATCTACAAGCTCCAGCCTACACCAAGGATTCAACGGATTGGCATCAGTCTGTTCTTCGCGGTAGTGGAATACGTGTGCGACGAAACGCAGCGCCATCCCCCATCGAGGCAATTCTTCACTTCCTGCATCGAGGTCCTTGGCCAAGTGAGTTGTTTGGGGGTAGGATTTGCTCACCGCTAAAGCCGAGTTATCTGTTGACGCCCATTTAGAATTCTGCAATGAATTGTTTTAACGGGCCACCGAGAGCTTGCTAAAGTGGGTGGGAAATAAGACATGGATGATACTAAATAAATAAGGTATGTGGATAATTTAGAAAGTCGCTTTATTGGTGAAATTGGAAGGAGGAAGGAAGGAAGATATGAGAGGGAGGGAAGCAGAGAGAAGAGGAGGGAGGGAGGGAGGAAGGAAGGAAGGAAGGAAGATAGAGGGAGGGAGGTAGAGAGGAAAGGAGGGAGGGAGGAAGGAAGGAAGGAAGATATTGGTGGGAGGGAGGCAGAAAGGAGGGAGGGAGGGAGGCAGAGAGGAAAAACGGGAGGGAGGGAGGGAGGGAGGGAGGAAGGAAGGAAGGAAGGAAGGAAGGAAGGAAGATATTGGCGGGAGAGAGGCAGAAAGGAGGGAGGGAGGAAGGAAGACATGGGAGGGAAGGAGGGACGGACGGAGGGAGGAAGGAAGGAAGGAAGATACGGGAGGGAGGGAGGAGAAAAGGAAAGGAAGGAAGGAAGGAATAATAGCAGTAGGAGTTAGGGTTATACATTGCTCCATAGTGCTTTACAGCTCTCTCTAAGCGGTTTACTCTGCCCCCAACAATCTTGAGTCCTCATTTTACTGACCTCGGAAGGATGGAAGGCTGAGTCAACTTTGAGTCCCATCAGGATCATACTCCTGACCGTGGGCAGATGGAGCCTACAATACTGCACTTTAACTACAGGTAGTTCCCGACTTACAACAGTTCATTTAATGACCGTTGGAAGTTACAACCGCACTGAAAAAAATTGACCCATGACCATTCTCCACTCTTACAACCGTTTGCAGCATCTCCATGGACACATGATCAAAATTCAGAGGCTTGGCAACTGACTAAGGTGGCAAGAATAGCCAGCACCCAAGAAGATAGGCTCAAGATCCAGATGGATCTTGACAGACTAGAACACTGGGCCGTATCTAACAAAATGAAATTCAATGTAGAGAAAAGTCAAGTCCTACATTTAGGCAAAAAAACCCCAAAAGTACACATATAGACTGGGTGAAACCAGGCTCAATAGCAGGAACTGTGAGAGGGATCTTGGAGTCTTAATGGACAACCAGCTAAATAGGAGCCAGCAGTGTGCAGCAGCAGCTAAAAAAGCGAATGCAATCCTAAATTGTATTAACAGGGATACAGTCAAGATCAATGGAAGTACTAATACCCCTCTATAAAGCCTTGGTAAGGCCACACCTAGAGTACTGCATCCAGTTTTGGTCACCACATTATAAAGATGTTGAGACTGTAGAAAAGGTACAGAGAAGAGCAACCAGGATGATGAAGGGACTGGAGGCTAAAAGATACAGTGAATGGTTGAAGGAACTGGGCCTGGCTAATCTAGTGAAGAGAAGGACCAGGGGAGACAGGATAGCAGTCTTCCAATATTTGAGGGGCTGCCCCAGAGAGGAAGGGGTCAAGCTGTTTTTCAAGGCAACCCAAAGGTCAGAAGGAATAATGGATGGAAACTGAACAGGGAGAGATTTAATCTGGAAATAATTTTCTAACAGTGACAATCAACCCATGGAACAGAAGTTGCCTTTGGAAGTTGTGGGAGCTTCATCACTTGGGACCTTCAAGAAGAGATTGGACTTCCATTTGTCAGAAATGGTGTAGGGTCTCCCACTTGGGTAGGGGGTTGGACTAGATGACCTACAAGGTCCCTTCCAACTCTGACTATCTGTTTATCTGTCTGACTCATATTTACAATGGTTGCAGTGTCCTGCAGGGGTGTCCCATGATCCCTTTTATGACCTACGGGCAAGCGAAGTCTGTGGGAAGGCTGGGTTCACTTTAACAACCATGCGGCTCACTTAGCAACTGCAGTGGTTCACTTAGTGGGGGCAAGGAAGGTTGTATCAGGGAGCAAATTTCACTGAGCAACTGTCTCGCTTAGCCACAAAAAATTTGGGGTTCCACTGTGGTCATAAATGGAGTGGTGCGGGTGGCTTAGCGGTGGAGCTCTCGCCTCACAATCAGGAGGCTGTGAGTTCTGTCTTAGGCAGAGGCAGATATTTCTCTCTCTCGGCACACTGAGACGGTATCTGCCGAGAGAAGGAAAACGGGAGGGACTCCACATTGGCAACAGGAAGGGCATCCGGCCAGTAAACCCCAAACTCCATTCAGCTGCTCAGACTCCACCCTGTGAGGGATTACGGGGTCGTTAAACAACAAACATTGTGGTCATAAATAGAGGACTACCTGTACGGCCTTCAGACCCTTTACCATCCTGTGTTTGGCACACTTTTGAGGGTCTCGGCATCCTGAGGAGACCCTGCCATATGGAATGGAATGGAATGGAATGGAATAGAATAGAATAGAATAGAATAGAATAGAATAGAATAGAATAGAATAGAATAGAATTCTTTATTGGTCAGGTGCGATTGGACACACAAGGAATTTGTCTTGGTGCAGATGCTCTCATTGTACATAAAAGAAAAGATACATTTGTCAAGAGTCAAGAGTCACCAGGTACAACACTTAGTGATAGCCCTAGGGTATTTAAATGCACTTTTGGATTGCCTCGATAGTTGTGAGCTTTTCAACCCTGGGAAGGAAATAGGTCCACTCTCTTCTCCATTGGCTAGACGCAATGGTGGGATTCAGCCAGTTCGCACCACTTCAGGAGGACCAGTGGTTAACTTTCTGAGCAGTTTGGTGAACTGGTTGTTGGAAGAAATCATTAGAATTTACTGGCCAAGTGTGATTGGACACACAAGGAATTTGTCTTGGTGTAAATATTCTCAGTATACATAAAAGAAAATTCGTTACATTCGTCAAGAATTAAGAATCATAAGGTACAACACTTAATGAAAGTCATAGGATACAATCATCAATCAAATCATACTAGGAAACAGTCAATATAAATCATAAGGATACAAGCGACAAAGTTACAGTCATACAGTCACAAGTGGGAGGGGATGGGTGATAAGGAGTGACGAGAAGATTAATAGTAATAGTAGTGCAGACTGAACAGTGTTGAGGGAATTATTTGTTTAGCAGAGTGATGGCGTTTGGGAAAAACTTCCCTTGTGTCTAGTTGTTCTGGTGTGCAGTGCTTGATAGCGACGTTTTGAGGGAAGGAGTTGAAACAGTTTATATCCGGGATGTGAGGGGTCTGTAAATATTTTCACAGCCCTCTTTTTGACTCGTGCAGTATACAGGTCCTCCATGGAAGGGAGGTTGGTAGCAGTTGTTTTTTTTTCTGCCGTCCTTTTTTTCTGCAGTTGTGTGAATGAATTTTCTGCAGTTGTGTGAATGAAGCCTCGGTCTCTCGTCTCATTCCAGGTGTTCATCGCAGGGACCAAGTCTGAATGTCAGCGGGTTTTACAAACCATTCTGAAGAACCGAAGACTTTGCACGCTGCTCTCCCCTTACTTCACTCCTGTTGCCTCCCCGGAGGAATTTGTCAGCTTGTACGAGAAAGTTGTGGCTTTCCTGGGTGACGACAACAGCGATGTCATTTTCATGCTTCTGACCAAGGCAAGAGAAGGGATTGCCACGCGGCATTGATGTTTGAGCAATTGATCTGGGAGGTGCATTTTTTTTTCCTTCCTGAAAGCATTGCCTGGATTTTAAGGGTTTCGTGCTTCCCAGGAGGGTAATAACTAGCCTTTTCTCTCAAATGGACTCAAAGCAGTTTTGTTTTGTTTCTTATTTAAAAAAGGCAAACGGAACAGATGCAATATCTGGTTCAGAAAATCAGAACTGTCAGAAACGGATTAGAACGAAGTGTCAAGCAGAGACATTAGAAAGATAGCCTTGCACTCTGCTTCAGCTGTGGGAGCCAAATGGGGTTCAGGCAGAAGAAGTAAATCCTTCTGGGTGGAAGAGTCCACCCCAAAAAAGCACCTGCCCCAAATGTGTGGCTATCAGCTATGCCTCAAGGCCAGCCCTTCCTGGCTTTCATGGAGTGGGTTTCGTGCAGTATTTCAGCAGATATGGGCGAGCCATTGGTGCAACATTGTTAGGCTCCCCCTTGTAAATTCTGATGGCTCATCTGCATATCTGTCTGTCTGCTCACCCATCGTTCTGTCCTGTTCTAACTATCTGCCTGTCTCCGTCTATTCCTCCATCCTTCCTACATCTGTTTGGCTGTCTCTCCATCCATCCATCCTTTTACATCTCTCTCTCTCTCTCCATCCATCAACTATCTGTCTGCCTGCCTGCCTGCCTGTCTATCTGTTTACAGTATCTATCTATCTATCTATCTATCTATCTATCTATCTATCTATCTAT